TACCTTTGGCCGAATTTCCACGGTTAATCTAATTTTAAGGTGTTGACCTACCTCAAAACACTCCTGAAACCACTACAGAGGTTGCTTTTCAAGGTGGTAAGGTTATTTTTGTGGTGGTTAGAAGAATTTCCAAATTGGTGACGGTAATTTAATTTCGTGATTCGAGATGTTGATGTTTGGGGTTAGAGATGGTGTTTTTGGGATTGGTGGGTGGTTTCGACTTGGAGAAGGCAATTTCAAGTAGGTTATGTTGGTTTTGGGGTGAAAGCGGTGGTTTTGGGGCTGTTTTAACTTTTGAGGTGGGTCAATAGTGGATTTCCGACGGATGTAGTATTTTACAAAAATTAACATTTTGTTAGATAGTTTCTTGCGACATTTTATCTTTTATTAGGTAGTTTTTTCTAACTTTTTTTTTATTATGTAGTTTCTTACAAAATTTGGGCTTTATTAGGTATTTTCTAATTAAAAAAAATCCTTTTTAATACTTTTTTTTAACGTTTTTTATTAGGGGTGTTCATAAATCCGGTCTTCGGGTCTTAAAATTCATTTTTCTGGTCTTCGGCCCGGTCCGGTCCAAAACCCTATAAAAACCGGTTTTGGACCTATAAAAAATATGTGTGAAACCTTAAATAATGGTTAAAATTATCCTTAATAATCTTAGTAAACTTTAACTTAATAAGTTTTTTTGTACTAAACATACAAAAAAAGACGTAAAAATGACGTTACAATATAGTTTTTCCAATACGTTTATTGTGTTTTCCTTAACTTTATTAAAAATTTAGTATTCTTTTTTTAAAAAATTCTTAAATCGGTCCAAAGCAGTCCGGTCCAGGTTTTGGACCGATTCTTTCGGTCCGGTCCGGGTTCGGTCCTAACTTAATCGGTCCGGTCTTCGATTCTTAAAATTCTAATTTTCGATCTTCGATCCAATCCGAGTCGGTCCGGTCTTGGACCGATGAACAACCCTAGTTAGTTTTTATTAGTGGGAAGTGCTTGATGGATTGGAAGATTAAGCTGGCTCGAGTTAAAGTGGTATGTGGAACACGTTGGATGTTGATTTGTGGGGTTAATGACGAATAGTAACCTTTATCTCTTTATTAAATGAAAATTAAAGTATCGATTCCTTATTTGTAGATCGACATATCTTTTATTTTTCCTTGAATATTTCTCATATTTTTTTTGGGTTACATCTTCCTCCGTACATGAATCACGTTTCATATGATTCTTTGCACTTAAAATGGCTTGCGCTACTTTCCATCTTCCTTAACCTTTTCCCCACTTGCCTTTGATTATTATAAGGAATTAAGTCACCAATGCATAGAAAAAAAGAATAAAGCATACATCTTTTACATTCTAGATTTGGTAATGTTATCTCTAAAGGATTAACAAAAAAAGAAGATAAGAATGAGGTCGGAGAAGATTCAAGTTTATAACGTACATAAATAAATTAAGGGTTTGTTCTCTTCAGCTTATTTTTTAATTTCCTTCCCCTTCCTTTTCCCTCAAAATTATTATCCAAACATGCTTATAAGTAAACATTGGATTACGCAAAGCCCAAGCAAACTAATCGATTGATGGATGACTAAAAATTAGGGTGGACTGTTAACAATTTCAGGTAATACATGAGTTTACAATACGACTAAATTCATTTCTTATTTATTGCAACACAAAAATATTTTATGCCTTACTTATAATACTCATTCGTTATACAATTTACAAATAATAAGAAACAGAGGTAGTATATTGTATTGAGGACAGCACACCAAATAATTGGATATTTAGCTATTCAATGTGCTGGCATTCTGTTATTCTCTTTTTGTTATTTTGGTGCAATGAATGTATTAGCTTCTTGCCAGCTAGCTGAGCTCAGCACCTTAGTTCATGTATTAAGGCAGTGATGTTGTAACCGTTTATTTTCAAGCAATCAGAACATCTCGATCTCTCTCTATTTTCTTCTCCTAAACTTCTCTCTAACAATTCTTCTGCATTGAATCAATTACATTCGATTTCTTTCAGTTATCATATTGAGACAACGAATTCATATTGAGACAACGAATTGAGAAAGAATGTGATGAATGATTACATTTGGGTATTTTCAATTGTTAATCCTTTCCTAGTTTTTTATAACAATCAATTCATTATTAAAAAGCCATGCATACGCATCTTAAAATAAAATCTAAATAAACAAATATATTAAATAGAATCAAACAAATGTTTCCTTCATCAAAATTACGATTGTTGAATAGATCTTACATCGTAATATGTCTCTTGCACGCACCGCTAGAATATATTGTCTTTTTAAAGAGGCGATCTATCGATTTGTTCTAACCATAAGAATGATCTTTATTTGATTTGCTTGAATGTGTTTGAAAATTTGACAACCGTTGTGTAGACACCCATTTGTGTCTCCCCAAAACCAAACCCGGTGATGAGTGCCTTTCACGTTGAATCATAATCGAATGAAACGAAAGTGTGGAAAGGTCTAGTGTTGCGGAAAGTTTTATTTCTTTTCTTTTCTCTTCTCTCTGTTTTTGAAAACTTTATTTTAAGGAAAACAGCCAATCCAGTTTGGTTGGTCCATGATATGGGTCCAATAGTCGTGTAGTTGGATGGGGCTTGCAAAGACATTTCCAACGATATATTATAAGCCCAATTCCGATGAATATTGAGGAATTTATGGCCAATTTACTAAACTGGGCCCGGTTTGAGTTTTAAGTACGGCCCAATGATCTAGGGGAGGGCCTAATATGATTTATCATTCCTAATGTAATTAGGAATGGTTTTGGTCTTCTAGAAAATTCTAGAAGGTCTTATTATTCTTAATTCAATTAGGATTCTTTAGGGTTTTAATTAGATCAAATAGCATTTTCGACTGAAATTATATTATTTTATCTTCCAGTACGGTAAAATTATCAGATTTTCGAAAACGTGTTAAAAGCCGGTTTGGCGTCCAACCCCAGGCCTTGGCGCCTGGAACCGGGATTAGTGCCAGACGCCATCCATTGGCGCCTAGCGCTAGCCACTGGTCCTGGCGCCAATGAGCCAGGGCTAGCGCCAAGTTGTTTTTTGCGATCTTCAGACTCTGTTTTGATAAATTATCTTTTTTGGCTGATTTTCTTTATAAATATCGTATCAAAAACTCCGTTTTAAAGGACGGATTATCATCTATCATTCACCACTTCTTTTATTCTTAAGTTTTAATAAATTTCGTTTTCATTCATCTACAATCTTCAGTCATCAACAAATTAGTTTTTGAATCATTAATCTTTCATTCATTCTTTCTAAACTTTATTCTTTAACACAAAATTCCGCATTCACAAGATCTTGATACACCTAGCCATATTCAAAGTTGCCTTCGCCCTAGATGTGAAAGGTTTTAATTTCTGAGGGTTTGGTCCCAAATCTCTATTTCAATTATTTAATTTAATTGCTTTGATTATTATTTTTCCGTGAAGTTACTAACGTGTGTATTTTGTAATTAGAAAGAGGTACGAGACATCCAAGTAAGTACTTTATTGATTTTATTGATTTTATGATGTAGACATCGTGTTTAGATTGTTATTAATATTCCTAGTATCATGTTTAGGGCGTTTTTAATATTAAGCATGATTAAGAATATGATGCTTCCTATGTTCTTTCTAATATTTATGATTATGATTGATGATGATTATTCATTATGTTGCTTGATATGCATATTATTATATATTGTTATTGCTTGATCACCTTTTGTTGCAGGTTAAAGGGAATTTGGTATTTGCAATCACGCTTAATAAGATATTTAATAATCTTGTTAGGTTAATTGTGATTATAATTTCAAGTGATCGCCAATAATAGATTTATTTGTGCATTAATGTTCAACCAACATAGATTAAACAAATTTAGGGTTAATTCTATTGATGGCATGTTAATCAGAAAGCGCACGTGAATACGAGCAGAATAAAGTAGAGGCCTATTATTAGGGCAGGTTCAATCTCTTTTAGGTTGGATTTGTACCTTCATCCCCGAACCCTATTTTGGTTCATGACCTTATGGAGTTGACGATCTCTTGGATCGTTAAGGGGTGTAACCTTCATCCTATGAACGGTTTACAAGTTCCTTAAAAACTTGTTGGCGACTCTTTTGCTCTATCTTCTTCCCTTTTGGACGCCACCGTACTTTACTGTATGATCACAGTGGGGTTCAAGCTAGTGGGATTTTTAAAGGCTTGAAATTATTCCCTACACGTTGCGATCCAAACAAATCTTTACCAACGAACTAATAATATGGCAAAAGATAATTACTTTCTTGATAAATCCATAACACACAAAAGGACCCTAAAGAGAAACAAACTAAGCCAACCAAAACTAATGACTCCATTATAGGGAGATGAGTGAACATCTACGCTGTCACTATGTGTGTAGATTCATTAAAACCTGAATTGAAAATCTAAAGAAAAACAAGAGAAATGGTCAAAAATAGAAATAGTCTAATTTCCGAAAAAAATTAGGCTATTTTCGATTTAAAAGAACAATAAATTTTAAAACCCCAGGAGAAAAGAGAGGAGACTTTTTTACACTTGTTTTTATTCCTTTCCTTTTTTTTTTGTAGACATTTTAATGCTTTCCTAGTTGATTCGTATTTCAATTATTTGTCTTTACTATAATTGTGTATATTGGAACATATTTCCACGAAAAATATGAAATTTACAAGTGTTACCTTACTTTTAATACGGAGTACTTGTTTTAGTTTGACCTTTATAACTTTTTTTCGTGGCATGCATGTTAGCACCTCGAACTCACTAAATACTAATACAAATTCATGATTTTGCTTGCTTGTGGTAGCCTTGACTAGCAGTCAGGGCTATAGCATTGATTTTGGGGGCCCTGTTCCATATCGAAAAAGGGGCCCTTAATAATGTTAAAATTATACATTTTTTTTAATCTATAATTTTGGCAATGCACAATTTTCCTATATATACATTGCAAAATAAAAATGCTTTCATATAACAATGATATATTCAATTACACAAAATTAAATTCGGATATTTTATTCATGTTGATAATAGTAACTAAATACAACTCAAGGCTCATATCAACTTAAGCTATATTAACTTCTATTTATTTGAAAAGTGATATTCTTCTAACGCTCTTTGAGGCAAAATCATCAATCAAGTCTTCATATTCCACTTTCTCTAGAAGATCATTCTCAATTTCTATCATCGCCAATCCATTAAGTCTTTCTTGTAGCATCATAGAACGAAGATATGACTTCAATAGCTTTAACTTTGAAAAACTCCTTTCTGCAGTTGCAACTGTCACAGGAATAGTCAACAAAATTCTATATGCAATAGTAGCATTAGGAAAACAACCCACATCATTCAAAAATATCAAAATATCAAAAGGTCCTTTTATGTCATTGTGCAAAATTTCTTTAAGCAACTTCAACTCCACAAATAATTCATTCCCATCAATATATGATTTTTCATTAGACATAAGTGCATTTTCAAAATTCAAACAAGAGGATTTCAAACTTAAATCATCCAATGGCTTCATCCTTTGAGGAGTGAATAAGAAACCAAAAATATTTTCATATTCCTCAAATTGCTCAAATCTTTTATAAAGAGAACTAATAGCTTGATCAACAATATAAAGAAAGTAATCAACTCTAAATGATTCTTCTAGAGATAGAGGAGCATTTGATGAAGTGCTTGGATTCTCATCAAAATATTTTTTTCTTTTAATTTCACGCTTTTGGGGAAATATAAGATCAATATCCATTTCAATAGCAATGTCATTAGCCTTACTCAAAGCATCATAAAAACCAGTTTCTCTATACCCCTCAAAAAAAGAAGTCAACCCTCTTATTTTTTTAATAGCCACATCAATAAGCATATCCTTTGATTGTAATAGCTTGCTTACTAAATTAATTGCAAATAATATTTCATACCAAATTACTATTGCAATTAAAAACTCAAAATCACCAAGCTCATTATTTGCTAAGGATTTAGCTTCACTCTTTATATTGTAATCCTTATCATTGCTATCGGCTACTTGAAGTAAAGCTTCTCGTATATCTGACATTTGAAATCTAATAGCCTTAACACTTTCAACACGACTTTCCCAACGAGTAGATGACAAAGACTTAACAGTTAGTCCTTTTACATTGTCTTTCAAGATTTGCCATCTCTTAGTAGAAGCTGTAAAAATTGTATATATACGTTGGATGACTCCAAAAAAGTCTCTAGCTTTACTACATGTGTTAGCCATATCACATAATGTCAAGTTTAAACTATGACAACCACAAGGAGTATAAAAAGCATTAGAATTTAAATCCAAAAATTTCTTTTGAACTCCTTGATGTTTTCCTTTCATATTAGATCCGTTATCATAGCCTTGTCCTCGCACATCCATTATATCAAGATCAAGATTTTTCAATTCATTTTGTAAAACATCAAAAAGCCCTTGGCCAGTTGTATCATTTACATTAAAAAATCCTAAGAAAGATTCCTCAATGCAAACATTACAATTAGAGACATTCACATATCTTAATATCAATGACATTTGCTCTTGATGGCTAACACCGAAAGTACAATCAAGAATTACCAAGAAATATTTTGCTTGCTTTATCTTTCTAATGATTTCATTTTTTATTGCAGAACCAAGCAAAAGTATTAACTCGTTTTGAATTGTATGACCTAAATAATGAAAGTGAATATCATTATTAGTAATACGGTTGACATGTTCTTGAATGATTGGGTCAAACTCGGCCAACATTTCAATCAAGCCCAAAAAATTACCATTACTTTTTTGGTATAGTTTCCCATTTGAACCACGAAAGGCTAGATTATGTTTGGCAAGAAATTTGACAATTGAAATAATTCTTTGCATTACTTTCTTCCAATGGTCTTTTTCTTTTTCAATTAGCATTTGAGTCGTCTTATCAATAGTTTGATTCTTTTGAAACCTAAGACGCAACTCATACCAAGTAGTCATATTCTTAACAGGATTTATGCTTGTCTCATGCTCTTTAAGTCTAAAGCCTACATGCCCCCAATCTAAAAAACCTTCATTTGTCAATTGTCCTCTTTCCATCCCTTTTTTAAATATTTTACAGCAAAAACAATAGACTCTATCAAGCTCTTTGGAATAAACAAGCCAATCCCTATCACATTTCTCACCGTTTGATAAAAATCTAGTATACAAGTTAGCCGTAAATCGTCTTGAAGATTTATCTTTAGGACCTTTCACAATAGAATTATCTCTTTTAGGACCATTTTTCACTAATAAATCAATCATTTTAGAATCAAGACCATCCCAAACTCTAGGATCATATATATTAGGCACATAACTAGTTTCACGGTGATCAACATTATCATTATCAGAAGGCATATCATCAATATTTTCAGCATTATTATCATTCTCAATAGGCACATCGTCAACATTGCAATTAACACTAGGCACATCATCAAAAATATTATCCACATCATCAACATTCTCCGCAATAGGCATATCACTAACAAGATCAACATTAACATTATTAATATCATCAACATCAACATTATTATTCTCAATAGGGACATCATCAACAGGCTTGTTTACGAATAAAATTGTTAGATACAAAATTAGTCTCTCATCTGCTGTATATCAATCAAATCTGCTATATATGTTTACGAATCTTAGAGCATCCATTCCTTTAATTTTGATGTCAGATGATTGTATAATTTTAATTCATTCGTATATAATTATTGATTGAATTTGTTTTATGATTGATTAGCTGTGCATTGTTCTGTTTTGAATGCCATTCATCTAAACAACCACAGTATGTATTTGTAGGATGTTAGATTAATTGTACATTTGTACGATACAGCTAATTAGATTAATAGCGTGCAATAGTCTAGAATTTCCACTTTTCCAGATATTATTCGCCAAAATAAAAAATTAATGTCTCTGTTAATGTCTCTGTTGCAACATGATTACACGAGCAGGGCCGAAAAATTAAAAAAAAAAAATGAAATGAAAATTGCTTCAATTCATCAATTGAAATTATCAAACCCAGAATTAATTAAAAACAAAAATAAAAAATTTACCAGAAGACACAGACACAAAGCATTCAAACTTCAAAGCAGGGCCGAAAAATAAAAAAAATGAAATAAAAATTGCTTCAATTGAAATTATCAAACCCAGAAATAATTAAAAACAAAGATAAAAAATTTACCTAAAATCGATTGCTTCAATTGCTTCAATTCGTTCCCCTCAAAAAGGAAAAAAAAAATTTTGCTTCAACCCTTCAATTCGTTTTTGATTTTGTATAAAGTATAATTGTATCAATTGAGAATAGATAGATGAAGATGATTGAATGGAAGATAACCCATATATATGGGAAAATAATTACCGTTTGATAACAAGAAATTCGGAAGATTGCAATTGATTTCTTGACTGAGTTTATTTTTTTTTTTTTCCGTTGAAATTCTGGGAAAATATGCAATACAATTTTCCATGATTGATGTAATTAGGGAGAAATTTGGAAACATGGAGAAATTAATATGGAAGGTTGAATTGATTGAATGGGATTATGGGATAATGGGAATTGGGAAAGTTGAATGCTTGAATGCGTGAATGTTGCTTCTCCTTTCTCTTTGCTGTAATAAAAAAAACATTTATTAATTTTTTTTATATATAATAAGTGGAAAAAAAATTGGGCCCTTTAAATTGGGGGCCCTGTGCTAAGGGCCACCTTGCACATGGCCTTCTACGGGCCTGCTAGCAGTGGCGGTTTCATTATGGGTTCAGCTGAACCCATACTAAATTCTGGAAATTATGATTATTATATCTCTTTGCTGCATATATATATATATAGGAAAATTTGCAAATTGCAGCCCAAAAGTTCATATAAATTGTAAATTGCAGCCTGATTCAACTTTTTCATCAGTTTACAAGTTGAAAAATCTTCGATTAAGGTTTTAGGGGCTTTTTTAGTCCTTAGGGGTCCAAATTGAGCTTGGCATTAGCAAAAAAATAACGCAAGTATCTCATTTTGCGTAACAAAAGTGTATCGATTTGTGGGAAACTGTAAATATGAGACACTTACGTTATTTTTTTGCTAATTCCGAGCTCAATTCGGGTTCCTAAGGGTTAAAATAACCCCTAAAACCTTAACCGAAATTTTTCAATATGTAAACCGATGAAAAAATTAAATCGGGCTGCAATTTACAATTTATACGAACTTTTGGGCTGCAATTTGCAAAAAAAAAAAAATTTAAATAGCTGCAATTTGCAAAATACGAACTTTAAATGGCTGTAATTTACAAATTTTCCATATATATATATATATATATATATATATATATATATATATATATATATATATATATATATATATATATATATATATATATATATATATATATATATATATATATATATATACACACACACACGTGGCCCAGTGGTATGAGTTCGGATTTATTAAACACATGTTTCTTTTTTTTGAAAGGGAGTTGGGGTTGGGTTGGAATTAAACACATGTTTCGTATATTAATATATACTTCGTATATAGTTTACTTTTAGAATTAAATGAAAAGTCAACTAATGGTATACTTATCCTAAAAAAAAAGGCCTACTTTACTACTACGTACCTAATTAAACAGACCATATGTGCTCACATCTTTAGAATAATTTTTTTTTAATAAAAAAAAATAATAATTTATTGAATACTTTGTAATAATTTAATTATCTGTACTTGTATTAAAATTCTACTCGTACGCTACAAGAAGGTCAAGAACGTGTTGGTATATAACAAGTATTTTTTTTAAGTAGTTTTTGGAATCACCCAATCACACTTATTAAATTTTAATGTTTATACGAAATAAAGGGATATTGTATTTGTAGCATACTTTACTTATTTAATTACTGCGTATATTTCTATATTTTTATACTCATAGATCTATTTATTATCATATTCTTGGTGTTAAATAAATATATATCCTCCGTAGTTGTAATTTTCTATAATGAAATTGGTCATAAAAATCTGTTTAGCTACCACATGTAGATGTAAAGGGATATTGTATTTGTAGCATACTTTACTTATTTAATTATACTAGCCTTCTGGCCCGTACAATGCACAGGTTATTCATATAAAATTGTATTGAGAGATAACTGAGGAAATATCAGTAAATCATTATAGGGTATAATATGTAACCGGAAAAATTGTATTGAGAGATAAGTGAAGAAATATCAGGAAGTCATTATAGGGTATAATATGTAATCGAAAACATGATTAAAGAAATTAAAATTTTGGAACATTAATCGAAAAAGAGGCTTAAATAGAAGGTGGAAGGTCTAAAATTAAAGAGAGAATATGAAAAGGTTGAATTAAAGGGGAGAGATGAAGTGTGTATGAAAGATGAAATATAAGTTTAATGAAAGAATTAAAAAAAATGGTGTAATAAAAAATTAATAGTGTAAGATGACATGTGGCACTATGGTTAGAGAAGTGTAATGGATGGGACATATGTCTTTCTTAGTTTCTTGGTTATAGTTTTAAATACTAAGTATAGAAGTATAGATATAGATTTCTATATTTTTATACTCGTAGATCTATTTATTATCATATTCTTGGTGTTAAATAAATATATATACTCTGTAGTTGTAATATCTATAATGAAATTGGTCATAAAAATCTGTTTAGCTACCACATGTAGATGTTCACATGCTAAAGGAATCGTCCAACAAAGATTTCATAAAAGAAAAATTGTTTGGTATCATCTTCTCGTACAATATACACGCTACCAATGTTCCGTTTGATAAGTCGTAGTCCGTATAAAATTTTCTTTCTAATGAAGGTAAACATGATTTCTTGTTCCTTGTTCTTTCCGATTTCTTTCCTTAAATGTTTTGTCCGGCTGACCACTTCGACATAGGGAATTTATACATTTCCTGTTCTTTTAAATCGTAACAAAACTTAAGTTTTAAAATTGAAAATTAATTGCGACTTTATTTTGGTTTGAGAATTAAAGATGAACCGATGAAGCATTTAATTTTTCTCCCTTTATTACTCTCATCTCCTAAATTATCATGCATACTCTTCACATTACAATTTGGGATCGATTCTCACCCCGTCCTTGTGGCTCTCTAAACACCAAAAAAAAGATGAACCGATGAAGAATTTAATTTTTGCAATTATGATCAGCGCAAAATTTTGTTAATAATTTTAATTCCTAGCTTTTTTTTCATTTACTTACAACACAATATCAGGGTGCACACTTTAGTAGGTCATGATTATTGTATCAATAATTTTCATACAAGAAATAGGAAATGGTACATAAATGTTTTGTGCGAAGATTATTTTGTTTGAAGTTTCTGTTTACGTCATCATCTAATTTCTTTCTCAAGAATGTGTCATATTGTGTTACAAGTAAAATAAAATAAAGAAAATACTAGTTAATTGTGACCGGTATAGCAATAATATATACTTTCATATTATATACTTTCATATAATTTAGGAGAAAAGTGTTTAAGATTGAAACATGACTCCTTTAATTTTTGAAAGTTTGTCACGCTTCTATATTAAGAAAATTGGAAAAAGGAGAACGGGTGCATGAATATAAGGTGGGTGCTCTCTATTTTACGAATATATAAGAGAGCCAGATAAAATATAAGGTGGGTGAGTGTAAGAAAACGTGGATGATTGGATGAATAGAGAGATTAAGGATGGAGTATTACTTTAAAATAAATGCAATAATTTACTTAAATGCCTAATTACTTTTGTAGGAATATTGTCCTTGCCTCATTGCATTGCATAGCTTACATTATATACAAAGTACCTAGGGAAGTATAGCAGACATAATGCCTAGGGAAATATACAATACATGGGGAATGATTAATACAATGATAGTAAATGCATCATCACAATTACATAGGATAATACACCCCCGCAGTCTGAGCGGGAGGTAAACGAACGCTTAGACTGGAACGAAACTCCTCAAAGAGAACTTGCGGCAGCCCCTTGGTAAAGATGTCAGCGAGTTGGTATCTTGATGGGACGTGAAGAACTCGGACCTGACCACGACTGACCTTTTCCTTAACGAAATGGATGTCCATTTCTATATGTTTTGTTCTTTGATGTTGGACGGGGTTGCCCGAGAGATACACAGCGCTCACATTATCGCAGTAGACGATCGTTGCTTTGGTGAGGGGACGACGCAATTCAAGCAGAAAATTGCGAAGCCAGCATGCTTCAGCTACGACATTAGCCACTCCCCTGTATTCGGCTTCGGCGCTAGATCGTGACAATGTAGGCTGCCTCTTGGCAGACCAAGAGATTAGATTGTCGCCGAGAAAAACACAATACCCGGATGTTGATCTTCGCGTGTCGGGACACCCACCCCAGTCCGCGTCGGTGTAGGAGATGAGGTTAGAAAGAGAGGATGGATATAGGTGAAGCCCAAGCTTTAGGGTACCTTTAAAGTACCGTAAAATACGACGGAGGGCTTGCATATGTTCTTGGCGAGGATCATGCATAAACAAGCATATTTGTTGGACGGCGTATGAGATATCGGGCCGTGTGAAGGTGAGGTATTGCAAGGCTCCGGCAAGGCTTCGGTATAGTGTCAGGTCGGCAACTGGGGGCCTAGAATTCGCACTCAACTTTGCTTTGGAGTCTACTGGTGTTGCGGAAGGGTTGCAGGAGGACATATTTTCTCTTGCTATTATATCCTCTGCATATGAATTTTGTGACAAGAAAAGCCCATTTGAATGATGGGTCACTAAAATACCAAGAAATGAGTTCAAAAGCCCAAGGTCTTTCATTGCATATTCAGATTTGAGCTTGCCCATGATGGATAGTCGAAGAGCCTTAGATGATGTAGTGAGGATGATGTCGTCTACATATAGAAAGATATAAGAAATCTCCTTGCCATGGCAATAGATGAAGAGAGAGTGATCCAATTTGCTATGGACAAATCCGATTGTAGAGACAAAATTTGCGAACCTACGATACCAAGCCCGTGGGGCTTGCTTGAGACCGTATAATGCCTTTTTGAGGAGGCACACATGAGATGGATTTTCTTTGTCACGAAGGCCCGGAGGTTGGTGCATGTACACAGTTTCATCAAGATCCCCATTCAAAAAAGCATTTTTGACGTCCATTTGGTGTATAGGCCAAGACTTGGATAGGGCAATGCTTAGAACGGTTCGAATGGTGGCCGGTTT